GAGAGAGAGAGAGAGAGAGAGAGAGAGAGAGAGAAACTCATACGCACATACACACATACACACAGGTGCAAACACTGAACTCGGCGTCACATTTCAGTAGAAGAAAGCAATGTCACAGACATTGACATTGACACGCGTCATTATCCTTTACCACCAGAATGCTCATTATCTGTTTCTGTCTGTCTCTTTGTGTGTTTGTGTGTCTGTGTGTCTATCTGTTTGTCTGTCCCTCTATTTGTGTACTTGTCTGTCTGTTTATCTATCTGTCTCTGTGTTTGTGTTTGTCTGTGTGTCTGTCGATGTGTCTGTCTGTCTGTTTCTGTCTTTGCCATTCTTCTAATACCTGCCTCTCATAACATGACACCAATATCAGAGTTTCATAATTGTGTGTCCGTCGCTCTCATTATTGCTAGGCTTTTAAAGAGCTTCGAACGTAACATCCATTTCCGATAGAATTAACCTAAGCACGAGGAAAGCTATGAAACAGTCTAAACGAACATTACTGAAATTTACCTGTGTAGCAGTTTCCCAAGTTAAATGCGCAATCCGTAAATTGTGTCGGCGAATAAAAATGGAAACTAATGAGTCCGATCACGTTAAAATAAGGTAATTTGCATGCATAATTTATCATGGTAGGAAACTCGAACAGAAAAGTAAGAAAGTTGTCATTATTCGAATGCCAAAGTATCGACCCACTAACCTTCTGCACTATACCACCCCCACATGAATAATTTGTCAGTTAAATATATATTTATAATAATGAAGGGAAAAAAATCATCTGAATTTTGACAATGCTGAAATACACGTAAAATATTTGATATATTAAAGTTCTCTAATCACCCGCACCACCCCTGACAACAGCTCTCCCCTCCCGTCTTCCTCTCTCCCTCTCTCTCTGTGTCTCTCTCTCTCTTTCTCTCTCTCTCTTTCTCTCATCCCCCCTCTCTCTCCCTCTCTCTCTCTCTCTCTCAGCTCATGTACTATACTTGTTTCCACAGTAAGCTATTAAGCATTTTAGCCTTTCAATTCAAGCTGCCACTATTTTAGCATTCGGTACAAGTTATCTCATGAAGTTTATCTTACACAGTTCTTCAAATGATATTTTGCTTTTGTTCTGCTTTGAATAATGATAAAGATTAAATTAATTTGATTGATGTGACTCATGGTGTTGCTTTTTTATTTGCCAGGACATGTCTGCATATGTCAAAAAGATCAACTTCAAGTTACATGATAGCTATCCTAACCCTAATAGAGGTAAGATTTCAGACTTCAGTTTGATTTGTGTGTATCTTTAAACTTTATATAAGAATGATGCATTTGAAATTGTTTAAGATTATTTAAATTGTGACTATATTGTCTGATTTTATGAGAACTGTTTACTTCTAACATTGGGAGGCTTGAGATACTTTAAAGGAATTATTTCGCTTTTTGTGTGTAGCAGTTAAGGTTTTAGGTTTCCTTTTTTTTTCTTTTGAAAGATCTTGTGAGGTATACAGATTGCATGAATACTAATAATTCCTTAATTGAGAGTATTCCAGCTCCCCCTAACATGATAGCGCTTGCTCACATGAATTATTTACCTCTCTTTTTAGTTTTAATGACATCACCAAACGGTTGATTCCTAAATTGATAGTTTTCTTATTTTATATAATGTCTTATATGTAGAAGAGAACATCAATTCTCACATGTAATCTTAGTTAATTACTTGTTGTAAAAGTATCTGTCTAGTCAAGAATTTCTCTGATCTTCAGTCTTTCCCCTTCCTACAACCACCTTTTTTTTTTCATATGTATGTATATCTATATGACAAAAAGTTTTTATGGTAGTTCACATTCTGTGATCACACTTTTTATCTTTTCTCTTATTCAGTTGTGACAAAACCTCCTTATGAAGTGACAGAGACTGGATGGGGCGAGTTTGAGATTATTATTAAGATTTACTTCAATGATCCTGCCGAGAGACCAGTAAGTATATTCTTGGTATTCATATTGCTTGTCTCTCTCGCAAACTGGACTGTAATAATAATGATGGTAATATAATAATAAATAGCATTTGTGCAGCGCATTTCCATTTTCAACCCGAAAAATGCTCAATTAAATGCACAGTACAATCAAAGGAGGGTGTGGTGGTGGAGCGATTAGTGGGGCTCGTCTCCGAAGTGGAAAGTCCAGGTTCGAGCCTCGGTTCGAACACGCATTTTTTTCGCCCCCTCCTGCCCACCCAGCAGTAATGGGTACCTCACTTCGAGTTGGGGAAGTAAAGACGGTGTGGAAAAGAACTAGCCACCCTACCACAATATGCCGAAGGCCCAGGAACTTGTCTCTCTAACAAGGCAATCCCCAATGTCCGGATCGGATGAGGGAACAACTTTACTTTTACAGTCAAAAACATTTTCAAATTTTAGAATTACTTGAAAGGTGTGTACCGGTATAGAGAACTTTTTTTTTAAATCTCAGAGAAAGCTTGTTTTGTAGGAGACGTGAAGGTCTCTCATATAATATATTCTTATTCTGTCGTCTTTTATCTCAGATAATTAGGGAAGTAGGAGATAAATTTCACCACAGTGCCTTTGATTATTATATAAATGAATAAAATCCATTACAGTGGAATCCTGTTATAAGGAGAGGGAGGAGACTGGTGAGAAATATCCGTTATATCAGGATTCTCGTTATAAGGGATCCAGTAATAAGTATAAGGGAAATAATAAAGTAGGCCTCGTCTTTGAGTTTGGTTGTTATCTCCCCTGGTGATCAAGGTCTTTCTTGATCAAAAACCGAATCAGGTTTCATTCTCTAGCACTAGCAATGTTGATTGCTCGTTGCTCGGCGTTGGTGGTCAGAAAGAAAGGGCTTTAGGCTAACTCGCCCGCTATGTTGTCCTCCTCCCCCCTCCCCTC